TTTTTAGTTTAGAGTGCTATAAAGAAATTAAATGGAACATAACAATTATGCATGATATAGTTCTCAAAACGAGCTCTTATGCAGAAAAATTGTTAACACATCAATGGCTGTTAGCGGTGTGGATACGTCTCAGCGTGTTTGCAGCGTTGCGGACGCTGTAGTGCCTCGGCTGCTTCGCTTCGCTACGCAGCCTCGGCGACTACAGCGCCCCAACGCTGCAAACACACCTCGACTGTATCCACACCGCATACAGCCCTTGATGTGTAAATAACTAATTACGCATTAGTTTGGGGAATTATGAAAATTATTAGTGCGATTCGAGCGCTATCTAATGCCAATACAAGCGCAGAGAGTAAACTTTCGAATTTATTCGTGCTCGGCCGCGAGAGTACATTGTTACGTGCGTATACGTCGGCGGCAAAGAGCAAAATTTGATTTATGCAATGGGCAGCACGTAACGCAGCGACTATCTCTCGCTCGTTTCTGTTTTAGCCTCTTGCCGCGCGGCCCATCCTCGCTCGCTCGCTCGTTCGTTCGTTCGTCTGCGCGTAACCAAGAGCCTACGTATGCAGTTATACAGAGAGATTCAGCAGTCGAGCAATCAATGCACTACTCTCGGGCCAAAGCTCGATACGTATAGGCGATCGAGCGCCTGCGTGCGAATCTACACGTATACGCGATGTGTGCACTGTGCACTGCGGTATAGCAGCGCCGCGCACTGCGCACTACGAGTACATACACACACATACGCAGAGCATATAGACTTGCAAGGATCGCGAGGGCACGGAGGAAATTTATGACGCGCCATACATCAGCCCTCGTATATAGAGAGACGGCGGCGGGCGCGCCGATTCAAGGTAATTTCGAATTTGATTTGCACGGATTAGATGAGCTGCAATGCGCGTGCAGGTGGCATCCGTGTACAGAGTACACTGCCTCGCATCTATATGGATCCCCGCAGCCGATGAAATAGTCGCGCTGCCAGCTATGCTGTACCGTACCTACGAGCGTCAACGCGTATACATTATATACCTGCACGGATACGTACATGTAGAGCCGTGCATATATAAGAACGAAGCTCGTGTGTGTACCCGTGTTATCGCTTCGCGTTCATCGTCGTCTGTGTCGCGATCCCAAGATAACACCAACCTGGCATGATTTAATATTAACGCCGAGTCTCGTTTACTGTATCGCATTTTTATCTCCTCCAGCCCCCAATGGAATCGTTTAAATTTTTTTCCCATTCATAATCTTTTTTTAACCCGCCGAAGATCTACGGTCGACGACGAGCTGCGAGTCGATTTTTTCTTTGCCCTTTTTTCCCTCTTTTTTCGTACAATTTACGTAGCTGCGTCGAATCTCGTTACGTACGTACATTTTATTTCATTCTTCTTCGAGTGACAAAAGTGGAGCGCGCACGATGTTTTTAATTTAATTAAAAGTACAGCTTGTTGGCCTGCGAGTAGCGACGTAAAAACTTTCATTGGGCGACAGAAAAAAAAATAAATTAATTTCCGACAAAAGAAAGATAAATTGGCGTACATGTATCATTCATGCGGCAGCCGAGGGATCAAAAGTAGCCCGAGTGCTTTTTACTAAACAACTTGCGGCGCTCCAATTGTCTTTCGAAATAAACTTCGCCGCGATCTTAGTCTGATTAACCCGGTCATTTGGCGAGTGACCCGGCAGTGGTGCAGCATCAACGAAGCCAGTAGTGCAGCAGCAGCAGCGGCTATAACGTGCATTGACAATAAGCTCAAGGCAGTTTCGCGCAACTTGTAATGGCTATAGACCATTTGCCATCATCTGGCGCTCAAGCTTCGACCATTCATTTTATAACATTGTCGAAACTTTGTGTGTTTGCGACTGCGGAGCAATTCTTGAAGCTATATATTCTCCGTGCGCCCTGCGATGCGCGCACACAAAGAAGTCTTTTGTATATATACAGGCTGGCTGTAACACAGCACCGGTAATAATGTCATTATTGCAGCTGCAGAAACTCCCGCGCGCGTATACAGCCCAAGAAGATACGCGCGCATACTTCTCTGCATTTCAGTTAGGCTATTGACTTATTAGTCGTTGCTTTTCTCGCACAAATTCTACCGCAGTCACAAAATTTCTTAAAAAAAAATCATGTTTCTTGCTATTTGTTTGCACGTGCAGGATAAATGCAATTTCTCCTTGTATAAAAAAATATAATAATAATTTTTAAAATGTGATGTTGAGCTCAAATTAGTGAAAAATAAGCGGAAAACTTGGCGAGCAATCTCTCAAGTGGAAATTCATTCGGCATATAACTAGCTGGGAGCTTAATGACCTGCGAACTTTCCAGTGTATTAAACAAAGATAAGAAGATAAATTTTTATGAGAGTTAATACGGGTGAAAACGTGGAATGCCGCAGCGTTATTTTACCGCTTTTTTTTTGCTTTCGAGATTTTTCATCCAGTCCAGCATGATTATCTTACGGCGCCTCATTTTAATCTGTACTTTAATATTTTTGTTATTGAAATTCCTGAAATTTTATGTATGAGAAGCGGGGGCGAAGGCAATTTTTGGGTATTCGTCGAAACTCGCAGAGATCGTCTGCAACGTTGTGTACCCTGAAGCTGTTTAAAATACAGCTCGCCTATACGTGCCAAAATGTTCAAACTACATAATAGGCTACGTTCGAAAACTTTCTCTATTAAAGTGTACATAAAAATGGCTGCGATGCAAAAAGTGTCCAATCTAGCCCAGTATATTTCGCAGCGTAATCAAGAGCAAATCGGCGCGCAATAAGTCGAAAATTAGAGCCAGAATTCAATGCCTCACGAGTTGGAAACTGCACACTCGACTCACGCTACACAGATCGAATTAATGCAAAATCTCTCTGGCATCTTGTAAGTTCAGGGAAACTATATATATACAGCCTCGCAGAAGCTCACGTGTTACTTATACATACTCTTGAAACCACATATACGCATTATGAGAAAGAGGGAGAGAGAAAAGGAGAAGAGAGATCGCTTAAGCTCTTGTGTGTGTGTGTGCGCGCGCGCTCGACGTGTATATGCAGCAAGATTCACCCTTCCTTTCAGCCAAGAGCAAGAGAGACGGAGAGAAAGGGCAGAATATTCTGATTGTGGCGCAAATTAAATGAAGCGGATCGTTAAGTCGCGCGTACTGCATTGTTTTAAGCTCTCCGCGCTGCGTGAGGAGAGACAAGAGAAAGAGAGAGAGAGAGAGCAAAAGATCCCGTTCACGTACATATGGCCGGATTATACACTTTAAAATGTTCCGGCCGTACAGTGTCAGAGGACTAGACACCGTGGCAAAGATGAAAATTGATTTTAGGCTTCTGCAAAGTACGCGTATTAGAGGGAGTAGTAGTTGCCCTGCCGAGTTTAATGTAATTGAAACTTAATGAATTATATGCTAAGGGATTCGATGCAGCTGCTGTACAGCATACATGAACCGATCGGGCTTTTACACATAGACAGGATGTAGGAGGCGCTCAGCGTGTTTTACGCGCCCACCGAGCTGCACACGTTGCTGCACCGCTCGAGGTTCAAAAGAGACGGAGAAATAATGTTGTTCGAAAGTTCGCCGGTGATTTTCGATTGTTCATTTCGTAATCAAGTTGTTGCTGGTAAATTATTCAAATAAAGTTATGCAGAGCACACTTTTTGCTGCGCAGCTCTGCTGCTCCATTCCGCGCCTGGCTCACCTCTCGAGCAAATTATATTTTCCACCGAAATTTCGAATTATTATCATAATCCGCGCGTTCTCTCTCTCTCTCTGTGCTTGTAATTCATATACATAACGGATGCGCGGCGAGGCACATTTGATAAGTTCCAATATAATTTTCGACAATATTTGTCAGCGATGTTTACGCAAATGTAATCGTGACTGCACTAACTTTGGAGAAGCGGCGCCGCGCGCTAGTTTCGCAGGCAAGTGTCGCTCTTTCGCGCGACACTAATAGTTAAATTCACTGTCAAAATTCCACCCTGTACGAAGATTATAGCTGCATAAGTGAGAATTTTATTCGAGAACGCAGCTGCGTAATGGGCCTCGTTGCTCTTGGACGTATCAACGCAACGGAATTTTTCGCGATTATCATTTGAGAGTCGAGCTCGCCGAGCGTCGGTTTAATTATACGCTTAATTCGTATTCAGGTTGCTCGGCGGTTGTGAGCGTACGCGTGCACGCGCATATATATGTATGGTTTAATCTCAACGAAGATCAATTCATGCAGCCAAACAATCCCATCAACTAGCTTCTGCACAACAACTACATCAGCGTCTCATCTGGCGCTTGCAAGCTCGCATCGCTCCGTACACGTGCTGCTTCTCTCTAGCCCTCTATTTATATGCGTGCTCAGACAGACAGAGAGTCTGCGTGTATAGCACAGACCAACGGCAGCAATATCCAGTCGAGTATAGGCAGTTCCTCCATTCGCCTCGTCGTCTGCACTATGCTATAAGCGTTCCGCATGACGCGTGCTCCAGCTCTCTCCGATCTCTACACAGGCTGCACGCACAGACAGTGCAAAACCCGCACGCGCGCCCGAGCATCCATTACTCGTCCTCGACGACGAGGCTAGCGTGTCAACGCTTGTTGGGGCTTGCTGGCCTACACAGCAACCGCCTACCGTGCAGACACGTGGATGGATATATTAGACTGCTGGAATGTCATGTGGCTGCTGCTGCCACTGCCGACGTTGGAAAGCTTGCAGCCGAGCATGAATACGAAAGAGACAGAATCTGAGGGGGGAGCTTGCGCTGAGACTTTGACCGAATTTTCAATGCTGCACCCTTGTACAATCCATGAATATAGATCGATTGATTTAAATTACTACTTTGCACTACTTTTCCCTTTGTAACAGCGTGACACTTTTTTAATGTTCAATGTGTTTATCAACTCGAATGAATTAGAGTAATTATTTGTTTGCATGACATTATTTATTAAAAAAATCTATAAATAATTATTACTAAATATAAATCTCATCTGCCGCTAAATATTAGTGACGTCTACCATGATGACGTCCGTTTTGTTCTTTCTCATTGTGTTGGTGTTCTCCGTGCACGTGTTCACCATGCTGATGTTCTCCATGCTTGTGCTCATGTTCTCCATGCTTGTGCTCATGTTCTCCGTGCTTGTGTTCACCATGTTGATGTTCACCGTGTTGATGTTCACCATGTTGATGTTCTCCGTGCACGTGTTCACCGTGTTGATGTTCTCCATGCTTGTGCTCATGTTCTCCGTGCTTGTGCTCACCATGTTGATGTTCTCCGTGCACGTGTTCACCATGTTGGTGTTCTCCATGCTTGTAGTCTTCGTGTTGATGTTCTTCATGTTTATGTTCACCATGTTTGTGTTCGTGTTCTTCGTGCTTGTGGTCGCCTTGTTGACGATGGTTTCCTCCATGTTGACGCCTGTTACCATGATGGCGATTTTCTTTTTTGTCCTTCACTTCGACTGGCTTTACGCCTTCGAGTCCATGAACTCCATTACCACTAACTTCGACTTGAGCTGCGGCAACAGCTACAACGGCCAAGAACACCAAAAGTACCTGAAAATTGTCGACAAAGTTCAAAATACTGAAGCTCATCTTCCTCGAGAAAAAAGTAAAAGGGCTAACTTACCAATTTGTTCATCGTGTTTGTTGCGTCTGCTTATGACTTCAAAACTGACATAATTTAAAAACTGGAGCCTTTTTATATATTTTGCACAAATTCTAAAATTAACGTAGAGCTATTATGTCATTCATGTTATGTCACCATAATAAACAGTATAATAAACTGATTCTGAGTCAGTGTACTTTCAACGTAATTGTTTATTATTTTGCATAACTTTTCAATTGCCTGAAACAAATTAATTCACTGCACAGAGATCGTGCAATCAAAGCAAATTGAAAATGTTTGCCTCCATTTATGCAATCGTTTATGTATCACTGCTTCATACGAGTGATGTGCGATTGCGCCAATTTTGAGTGTTTCCATAGTTAACGCGAAGAACGAAAATATTTACAACAACTAAAACTGAAATTACGCTACGACTACTGAAATAGATGATTTTGATAGAATTCCATCAGCATTGTGCATCTATGTTGTTCGTGGCTGAAGGTTACGTATATAAAAAGCTAAAAATAATCGTTTTTTTCGTGTTATTGATGATTAGTGCTGTATCCTTGCAGTAAGAGATTTTTTGCTATAAAATCAATTACACTTTAAAACAATATATCACGCGCTATAAATTAAAATGTCAGTGTTAATTACATATTATTTTGCAGTTTATACTATACTATTCAACTTTATAAAAGTGCAGCCTTTGTATACAAATAAGCACTAGTGTATATGCAAGGTATTTACGTGCTTATGTTTTCATGTAAATTTAATTAAAATGTAATTAGAGATCCTCAAGTGCGTTTATTAAAGTTTGAATTTCGAATTTGAAGAAAGAGGACGAGGAATAACTGCAACAGCCAAGTGCAAGAGCGAAAAGTACAAGTAAGAAGGAAGCTTCGAGTGGTCCAAGAAGCGCATCGTTAGGTGGCACGCTTGATCTGTATATAGCAGGTGAAATGAGAAAATGCCTATGCGCCTTGTACATGCAGAGAGAATAGAGAACAAGGCATATGCATACACACAGACGCGCACACAAACGCGCGGCGGGCACACATTTATATACACAGACGCGTCATCAAAGACGCCTTCGTTACATTGACCACAGTAGCAACATCGCAACGTGCTGAAATTGCAACTTGCCAGGTGCTATATACACATAGCTTGTTCTTAAGCTATATGTACATAAGCGTATGTGCTTGTGTGCGGCTATAAGCGGCATATATACAGACTGCAGATACCCGGCCATTTGGAATCACATGTATATGGCTGTAGCTAGGTAAAATCGGCCTGAAAATGTCCATTTACAAAAAAAGTTGCATTTATCGATAGCTAACGAAATAATCATTTAAAATATTTAACAAAAAAAAGTATTAAATTTTTTCTGAGAATTAACCTAATTTTGTTGGAATCGTTTTACTTGATTTTCGAATTCAACTGAACTTATACATAACACCCCCAGAATAAGTGAACCAACTTTCTAAAGTTAACTTTCCAACAAAATTAATCTTTATTTCATCTAATTATAACAAATCATCCGTACTAATATAATGTTTAACCTGAAACCATCGATTCGATTCAATTTTTACCCTCTTTTCTAATCAAATTAACTACTTTTTAATTTTAAAATTTTCCACGTTTTCAAGTTTTTGGAAAAATAGACTCCTTGAGTCTTAAGATAAAAAATCTTAAAAGAGGTTAAAAATGTCAAACAAATTCAGAAAAATCAAGAACATAATAAATATCTTATTTTACTGATCTGAACAAAAGAAAAAATGTTTCCATTTGAAATTTATTGCCTATCTGATTTCACGGAGAATTGACCATGGGTATACGTAATAAAGAAAAAAAGAGAAGAAAAGATCGTGATAGAACACACAATCACAATGAACAATGGATCGTTACAAGAGCTTAGTGACAATCATGTTGACAAAAACATCAACTAACTTTTGCTCTTGTTTCTTGTATCAACTTCCTTTGATTCTTTCAGAATTCGGATAATGTTTTCAAGCTTGGAAATGAAAGGTTGGCATAATTTTGAATCTCCGTGGAAATTAATCAAACCTTGAGTTTGGTTGATTGATGCTTTTCTTTTCTGAGATTTATATAATCTTGTCTGGCAAGTTTTTTGTCTATAATTACGTGTACATCAGTTGGTAAAGCAAAAAACACGTAGCTTTTGAAAAAGGTATCAGGTTTTGATGAATACACGTAGTTCATCGAATTTGGAAGATAATTTGAGTACATAACATGATTGTTTATGTAATGAGAAATTAAGACATCATATGCTTTCCATCGATTGCATAAGATGATAATTTGTTGTTTTAGCTTATCACTTTTTTGTCGATAATAATTGATATGAATTTTTGATACTGCAAGTAAAGAATAAATTGGCTAATATTTTATTTTGTCGTAAGTCTGTACAATTGATATTATCTAATCGCTCTCGTGACAAATCTTGCCCATTCATTAGGTGAATAAATGCGCGAATCGAATCCCGGTTACCCAAATTGGGTGAGTAATTCTTACAACGTACGAGTTGTTGTGTCATAACATATTGTTGTCATTTATATAAGATCTCACGATAACCGAACAAATTTGCACGTAGACATCATAAAGCTGTGAGATATTTTGGTAAAAAAATCATCGTCTGCACGTAGATTCTAGTGCAAATGTCTATGTGGAAGCATGTCAATGTTCAGTAACTTTTAATGCCAGCATGTGAATCTTTCAGATTATCCGAATCTATTTTCTTTTTATCTCTCTTTCTGCCGCTCTAAAGAAGCTTTTGTCTCGAGCACGAATGAGAGCTGAAAAAACGGAAGAAAATGTTGTGATGCTGTCGATAAATCTTTTGCCTTGTAGGTTAAAATCAATGCTAAGGCTCATTTCAATTTTTTTCTTTTGGAACTTCGACATTACGGGTTGATATATTTAGATATTATAGCCAAGCTAAATATCTATTGTTGCTACGTGAAATTAAAAATATGCATTACGAATATTTAGAATGACAGTCAAAGGTTCGTACATTTATTCATGGATTAAAAATACTGAATTAACAACAGTGAGGTATTTTATAAACTCGAATAAAAAAATTATTATAGTTATTAGGGCTGTGCGAGTACCCGAGTTTTCGAGTTTTACTCGAATCGAGTTCGAGTCGAGTCGGGAAAATTCGAGTACTCGAGTTTTTTCGGTTACTTGAATTTTTTCGGGTAATCGAGTTTTTCGAGTACTCGCAATATAATTAAATTTTAAGTAAATATATGATGAATTAACAGTCTCTAGACCCCTCCCTTTGTGTGTGTACGTGCTTATAAGTGTGATGAAGTGTGGTACTATTAAATTATTTTCTTCTTCCAATCCAATTCGCTGCGAATATCACACTTATAAGCATGTACATACAAAGGGAGGTAGACTAGAGACTACTAATTCATCATTTATTTCTTAAAACTTAAATAGGGTACTTATACCAGTGATTGACCGCTTTCAACCAGTAAATGACCACTTTTGGATGTGCCATAATTATCGTTTTTCCTTGTTAAATTATGATCGAACATAGAAAACAAGATGCATCGTTCACTAAAGAATTGAATTACGTCCACACAAATACATTTTAATTGTTTTTCATATGATATTTTCCAAAATGGTCATTCACTGGTACCCGGTCATTGATTGGTCTGACTACCCCATATTGCGAGTACTCGAAAAACTCGATTACTCGAAAAAATTCGAGTGTCCGAAAAAACTCGAGTACTCGACTCGAACTCGAGGAAAAAACTCGAACTCAATGAGTCGAGCTTTTTCGAGTACTCACACAGCCCTAATAGTTATCCCAGCAAGGGGTCAACTCATGTTCGTGAAATGCAATATAATATTAAAACAATTAGCGATCGCCCGTATACTTTTATAGCTCATAATTCAGGCGAAGAACGCATGTATGTAGATTCTTTAAATTTCAATCCTATAATACTTTTCCTTAAATTTCAAACATATCAAAACAGATTTTTTTTGAAAACATAATTTGGTAAACATTTTTTATTTATACTATAACTTCTCTTTAAAAACCAAATAATGTTTCAAACAATTGTTCTTAAAATATTTGAATTGTTGTTCTAATTAAAAAAATTATAAACTTAACCAGTTATAATTTAGGAATTCAAATACTATTGCTATTTGCAATGCATGTTGATTTTTAATGATCATTAGAAAACAATTTTAAACTTTTTATCGTACAATGAACAATGATAAATTGTTTGACAAGGTTTGACAAAGTTTCAAGATGAATATACTCTCACAGTATTAGCATTTCTACATAATAGGTATCCCCACATGTTGAGTTTTTTTCTAATTGTAAAAGATTTTCCGTTTGCAATAAAGATGTGGAGGGGATCTGATACATAGCATATCTAGTAGCCAAGAATTTTCACTGTGAATCTAGATTCACGTAGTGCTTTATTGTGCTCATCGCTTACAGCAGTCGTAGAAAATGATTTCAAAAAATTTTACTGTGTTATGTTTAGCTACTCTTTTTGGACTATCAAATGCCTTAGTTCGTAAGTATTAAAAGCAAATGTATCGTAACTAAGTAATTATTTCCATAAAATAAAACTTTATTTACACTCTAGAACGAAGGTTTTTTTAATATTTTTGAAGTAGATTATTTGGTCAACTACGCAAATCGCGCCTAATTTGATTTTATTAATTACATTTTTGAAAAAATTATCGATAGAATTGATGCTTTATTTTTTTTAAATGTTTGGAACGTGATTGAAATGATTGGAATTTGCATCTCAAAATAATCATATTTCATTACAATGATTTTATTAAAATTTAGTAACAACGATTTTTAAATATTTGAAAATTTTAAAAAGAGTGAAACTACACTACTACCTTGATTATTACAATTAATTTTTTCGTAATTCGTTTTTGTACACTTTTTTGCTCGTATAATCAAGCTATGATAAATACGAGAAAACCTGTTTGTAAATTGTGATCAACGATCTTTTGTATGCTGATTAATCTTTTGAAAAAGATATTCTTGAGCGATACGTAAGATCCGTTGATGATTTAAATTTTTTTACTCTAATTTCATATCATACTTTGAGCATTATTTGATGAATCACATTTAATAGATAGTTATTGAAAAATTAATCATAGGAATTCCGTAAAACTTGACGAAGGTTAAACTTATTCGAGTTATTTTCCACAATGGCATGTTCTCGCGCGCATAACTACTTCTTGACTTCCTCGACCGATCCTATATGTATCAATGTTACCGAGTATTCAAATTCTTGCAATTTAAGCATCCTACATTGAAGTCTGTGGCCGACGCAATCCGAAACTGGACCAATGTGTAATAGACAGTGCAATGAAACTACTACCGAAATTGAAAGATGGAATTCCTGAATTAGATGTACCCCCACTCGAACCTCTGGAAATTGAAGAACTTCCTATGGCCAATCTTGATTCCTTCAGAGCTTCTGCGACTGATGTTAAGCTCAGGGGCTTGTCTAATTTTACTATTAAAAATCTTAAGGTTAAACTTCAAGATTATAAAATCTACATTGAAGTTTTATTTCCTCGTGTCCATCTCAACTCTGATTACAATGTGAAAGCGAAAATTCTAGTACCTATTGCCGAAAAAGGACCTATTGACATGATCACAGGTGAATTTTTTACTTATATGAATCTTTAGAATCACGTCGAATGGATGTATTGTAGACAATGTTAGCTCTAATTAACGACTTATCAAGCTCAACTGTCAGATTAGAAATTTGCATAAGTCGTGTAATTTCGTTGTTGCATAATATAGCGGAAATACGTGGTTTTTTCAAGTGACTAAGAAATTGTCGCTAATGTTTCGTCAATTATATTACACAAGAAACGTCTAAGTGTATAATTATACATATAATGAATCAAAATACGATTTTATTTTAGAAAATATAGCTGCGAAGACTACAATGAAATTCCGGTTGATCGAACGTCGTGGACGTCAAATTATGTTTTGGGAAGAAATGACAACAAAAATTTTCATTAAAGACTACACGGCTAATTTTGAGCCTGGTGAACAGAAACCTCTGACTCAGGCCATTAATCAAGTTCTTCAAACCAATAGAAAAGAGATCATCGAAAGCATTACACCATCTTTGGAGCGAGCCATTTCTAAACAAATTCTAGATATTAGTAATCGTATATCAAAGCATTTTTCTTATGAAGAGTTATTCCCCGATCGTGAATGAAAGAGTAACACTAAGTCACATAATTCTAATTTGCAGTAACGATCGATTTGCCTAAAAATTCATATTGAAGTTGTATTTCTATTGCCAATGCATAATTCATATTGATTTGAATATGATCGTAAAATGAAATTATATGCTAAGTCTGTAACGTTCAACATTTTTTTCCAAGTTCATAGCGTTTGATTGAAAAATATTTTTCAAAACGAATTGTATATATTTTACTTATGATGAACTACATTCATCGTATTTCACGTTAAATATTAAAATTACAACTTATATTTTTATACCTAATGTAATTTAATTTCAAATCCTTAACATTATGATCATGCAATAGCTATGCAATGCAATGCAATAGCAATGCAGTTAGATTTTGTATAATAATACTTAATAAAACAAATCGAATGTAAATCGTATATTTTATTATTATTTATTATAAATTCATTCTAATCAATTCTTTTCTTGCTAAGATTAATAATAAAAAAGTAAAGAAACTGCAAATTTTTATAAATTTATTATAAATTAACATTTTTTTGATTTGAACTAAGAGAAAGTTATAATCGCATGAAGCGCTTTAGACGGGACTAGTATAAGTATATAGGAGCTCTTTATACAGCTCGAGCATACACGACATAGTAGCGAATTCATATTCAAGGATACATGTTTCATATACGAATTTATGTATTTTGCAGCTTGGGGATGTACTTATGGTATTTATTAGACCGGAGTCGAACGATAATTGCAAGATGATATCTTTTCATCATTTAATATATGATATGCACTTTGCATCGGATAAATAAACCTATTACATTTTTATGAGTTTTGAAGGTATTTTTGGTACAAATGATTTATGAAAATCATGTACTGAATTGACGCGACGTTCAAGATTATTTTTAGCCCAAATTATTCATAACAAATCTTGCATTAGAAAGGTTTGTCACAAATATGAACTGCATTCCCGTAGTTCTTACGTTTTTACTGATGCCCAAAAGATGTGTAGATGTGTAACAGATTTCACATTCATATAATTCCATGCTCTCACATGTCGTTTCGATAAGTGTCTTTAGACTTGCTTATCCTTCATTTGTTTTTCACGTTTCACACTCTTAAGATAATTTGGTTTAAGTCGTTTTTTAAAATCGTTTAACCTCTTTATATTCATCAAAAGTTTCCATCATGTGTTTATTCCCTGTGAATTTTCACGATTACATGCTGGCCATTCTCAATTTAAAATTACTAACTTAATATTAGTCAGTCAAAAAAGTACTCACAGCGTGCCAAGTAAAAATTTTTCCGTTACACGGAATTGACAGTTATTATGATAACCGAAATCTTTTTTCATCAAAATGATACGATTTTTTTTATGAAGTAATTGTTGTGAATTTAGTTTTATACTTTTACAATATGTAGAGCAACTTGATATTCAGATTTAGAATTGGATTCAGATTTAACATTTTTGACCTGAAAATCAATGAATATTTTTTCATTTAATCGTTTTTGTAACGCTACAGCCTCATGTGCATGTTTTATCTAAAATTAAAATTGTATAATAGTTTTTGATATCAAAGAAACAACACAATTCAAAACATTTAACTCACTCGTGATTTATTAAAAATGAATGTTTCAAAGTTTTTAGTTTCGTTAGAGTCCACCGAATTTATAATATAATATTCGCTTGCATCTGGTCAAGTGTCGATTCGGTTCTTCCTTCACCCTGAAGAATGATAAAGTTTGATGAGGTGATCACTTAAAAAATTATTATACCTTGCGCAAAAAGTTATAAATAACGTATCCTCTCTGCTTTCCATCATGTGTTTATTCACTGTGAATTTTCACGATTACATGCTGGCCATTCTCAATTTAAAATTACTAACTTAATATTAGTCAGTCAAAAAAGTACTCACAGCGTGCCAAGTAAAATTTTTAAGGTAATTGTGTTATTGTTCAATCGTTATTTTTCATTAAAGTCGTATTTGAATGAATTTTAAATAAAAAACATACCAAAAAAGGTGGAAAAAAGTTGGTGGATATAATATAATAAAAAAGTACTAGAGTCCGTAAGACTGCAGAAAGCAAAATGACAAGCTGCCATGATCATTGCAAATATTGAATAAGTACCGTCTTTACGTACGTCACGGAAAGTCGAAGCGAGAGACTGCGACGAACCCACACTCTCTGTGCGTGCAACTTATAATAACTCTCGATGCTGAACGTCAAATCGACGCAATGCGTGGAAAATCATAATTTTTTGTATAAAACTAGTGATATCTTATTTTTCTGTCTTACGGGTATTATAATTATGACGCGCGTCATTTATTTTGAAACACGGGTGCTCAACGCTCCATCTCAATTTGACCATCGCCACGTGCACAGTTTTGACGCAGTATCTTGCTTCGACGCTCGGTGCGCAAAGTTTAGTCGTAAAGGTATGAATTGCATTTACTAATAGAGAAACTACTATTCGAGGATGTGCAAGTTGAGGGTGATCGTAACCTTGGCGATGGCATATTAATCATAGCGCCTGTTTTTTTTTCGATGCACTCCGCAGAAGCCAACCTAGACATTCAAAATTGACCAAACTTTCGTTCTATCGTATTTACATTTCGAAGAATATTGATTAGGTGACTCTTTTCACAATTATTTCCGAAGGGGAAACGCGAGATTTTTTGATCTAACTACCCTTTTAATCTGTATATTTTATACGTGAAAGTAAAAAAGCTACAACGTTTTTCATACTACAATTCTTGATTGCTCATGGAGACCCATTTTCTGAAAATTAATGTCACCGTCGGAAAACTCAGGAATAAACAAGTCAAAATTATACATCAGTTAATTTTTTCATACATTTTGGGAGAGATAAAAATTGTGCATTTGACCGTTTTGCACGATCACGCGTGCCTAATTCTCTTCCTAAACTTCTCTCACTCCAAACCATCTCTTTGTCAGAAAATGTCTCGAGTACTATAAGTTATGACTAGCAACATTTTACGACTTTCAAAGACATTCATTGTTCGTTGCTGTTTATTTAAGGTAAATTTTACATTGTTTAACTTTATTTTAACCTCTAGAGGGCCGAAAAGCCAATGTATTGGCGCACCCCCTGATCGACCCTTTGCCCATGATCGATCAATAATTCAAGATACCTTTTAGTCAGTTTTCTATGGATGATATGACCTTTGAAATCATGGTCCTCTAAAGGTTAAATTTATATCATTATGAACTTTTTCACATAACTTGAAAAAAATGTTATTTCATCTTATAATAGAAGGTAAAATAAAAGTTATGAAAATTCTTGCTATCGAGTCAATATAACAGCCTGGCCCAGGATAATATTTAAATTTCAATAAACTACATTGAGTTGGAATTTAAACAAAAACAAACATTTCTTATTCGTATATTCGTTCAATAATTAATATTTACGATTTAATTATACACAACAGCATTTAAAAAAATTGTTTGTATGAACCGTTTATATTTAAAAAAACTTTATTATTTAAAAACTGGTATTAAGTATGATTTTATTTGTTTTGAACTCAGAGACAAAAAGGTAACTTAGATCTATGTTAATTAAATAGGATTTAAGAACGTTTTTGCTTTTGAGCTCAAAAATATACTTTCTGCCGTGGGTAAACGTTACATGAAATTTAATTAAAAATTAAGCAAAAATAATGCTTAATTGAGAGAAAATATGGACAGACCTCTTAAAAGTCACTAAGAAAAGTATTTAGATAAGTTCATGATTTCTGAATTGCACTTGAAGTAATAAATCAATTTTCAAAAATAAAAAAAAATTGCATCAATTCAATTGCTTAACATGTTACGATTCTACCTCTTGAAACACGGAAACAAAAAAAAACGATTAAAGATCTCGAACTCATTATTTTGGATCATACTTGGGTATCTGTATCAAGTGAGTTTGATTAATTTTTTGCCTGCAAAAGAAGTGGTCGTAAATAGAACATAAGATTTACTTGTCAGACGCGACAGTGTCTATAAGTACGTCATAATTTTTTCTAGTGCTCTATGCATAATCACCTACCGATGCTAAATTAAATACCAACTCGTGACTCGATTCGTCTCATAGTGGATCTAAAAGTCAAACAGTCAATATGGCCCACAGAATAGCAGTTTTCATCTGCTTTGTGACAATACTCGCACTTATCAATGCTGATATTCGTAAGTAGTAATTTTTCAATTGAAAAGTTGTTTCTCTTATATTTGCCTACGATTTCTTCTGAACTTTAAATTGACAATTATGGTGTTGAGCGATAATCTTTTTGACCCTTAATACAATTTCTTTGTTTATTTAGCAAAAACGATTAAAATATGCGGACGACGCAATCCTCAACTAAACCAATGCGTGATAAATGCTACATTGGACCTAATGCCAAAATTGAAAACGGGTGTACCCGAACTTGATTTGTCGTCAATCGAACCAATCAAAATCGACAATCTTGTCATGGCAGACATTGACAATTTCCATGCCTACGCAACTAACGTCACGCTCGGTGGTCTCAGTGAATTCAAGATAAATCTCATGAACGTCGATTTAGAGAGCGGAAAAGTTGACATCGAGTATGTTTTTCCAAAAATCCATGTCAAATCCAATTACGAAGTAAAGGCTAAGATACTCATTCCAATCAACGAGAAAGGACCGATCGATCTAATTACAGGTAAATTAATGAGCTATATCAGGAAATATCTATTTTTCATTCTCGTTTAAATGATCCATACAGAGAATACTCTGGTGAAAGCACGAATGTTGTTCAAAAAAGTAAATCACAAGGGACGCGTCATGATGTACTGGACGTCGATGAAAATGAAGATCAAGATTACGGACTACACTGCGAATTTTGTGTCGAGCGACGATAGTCCAATGACACAAGCCATCAACCAAGTGCTGGCGACTAATCGCCAAGAGATCATCGAGAGCATGACCCCGAGCTTTGAAAAATCTCTGTCGGCCAAGGTGCTGGAATTAGGCAATCAAATTTGCAAGCGATTTTCCTTTGACGAATTATACCCTGATAGGGAATGAGTTTGATTTTTCTTTGTTAATTAAAGTGTAGCGACGATAAAAAGTCTGAATTATCTATGAAGTGGGTTTAAATTTCTTGTAGTTAACATAAGTGTCCTTTCAAGGTTGCAGAGGCGAAACATTGTCAAGTTTCTACGACTCGATAGGTGATATAAATAATTAGGGAGGATAGCTGGAAGCATTTTCCGGACAGTTGGTTCATGCATGAGAAGTTTCGTCGTTGGTAAGCTTAAATATGCAACTGTTGAGCATTATCTATATCGAAGTCGGGGCACTTGTGCGTCGCAGTAGGTGGGCGCTCGCACGCGATACAGCATTTCAAAAGCTGTGTGTAAGTCCTTATCATACTCGAACGAACAATAAACACTTTGGCTATAGGTATACGCTCACGCATTCGCGTATAGACAAGTTTGGCGTCGATATAGAGAACCGCAATGTGCTTCTCTCGACGTATACACTTCCGTTTTCTCTCCGAGGCCTCCGCCTCGCCCCCGAGTTGGCCAAAGCTAAGTCGTATCTCAGTCTCATCATAATCTTCCGTGAGCGAAGTTGGCAGTTCCCCGAGAGCAAGAACTAAACGCTACCCGCGCACACACCCAAACACACACACACACACACATTTGCGCGCTGGAAACTCTTGCTATTTGATGCTGCTGCTGCTGCCGCCGAGTTCGCTCGCTGGATATAACTAGTAATTAAGCGAGGCGCTGTAGTGAGAAGCGGACCTCCTTGATCATCTCTTCCTACGATATTCTTTGTAAATGTGTGTATGTATGTGTGTGTGTGTGTGTGTGTTTGTGCGCGCGAGCTGTCGTGGAGCTGCTTCCGGAGCTGCAACGCCGTATACATAGCTGACGATTCTTGATAATGACTTTTTCTCTCAACTCGAAAACTAGAATACTTGCTCTGATGCAGTCATGATCATCTTAATTAAATTGTTGGACAACTTCGTTCAGTGTTTTTCAATGAAATTCTATACATCGGAGTTTAATAAAATTTCTCATCGATCCGATAGCAATGGCGTTTCGAGCTAGAAGTTTATTACGAAAACTTGAAGCATAAAGCTTAAGTGTTTCCATTTTTTTTTGCAATTTTATTTCGCAAAATCATTTTGTCTTTGAAAATCGTCCCAATCCACAAGTGTGGTCGCGTGATATCATCAAAAGCATAAACAATTTACGCGGAAATGTACATTTTATCATTGTTTCACTCGTCAAATCCGTTACATCGATCACTCGACAAACTCTTTATGATCTCCTCTTGGTTTGATTTTTTCTCCTTTTTTATGAGCATCGCTGAAAATTAACTGGACTCGGGCACATGCAAGTATAATACGATGACGTGAGTATCGAAATTAATGCAGCCATTTTCAATCATCGCATACGCATATATATACGGGTAAAAAAAGGTACAGCACTCGATTCGAAGCTTATCGGATCACAGGCGCGCGCGTTTAGCAAAACGCCCCGAACGGTCGATCATTTACATACATACGCGCAGTACTTTACTACACATGGAGCACTCGGTGCACTTGACATGCGAGTCAATTGATTTTCAGCTCGACGCGGCGGCAGTTTACGGCGACGAGTTTCTTGTGCGCAGGCAGCGCAGTTTTTTTGTCGCCCGCGCCGCACTATGTTTTCTTTTTTCGTCCCTATATTAGCCCCGATTAAGCTACGCTCGCGTGGCCTGCTGTTGCTGTTGCAGTCGCTGCTACACGAAAACACTTTTTCCATGCTCGTTTATGTATCGGTCTGCAAAAACCGATCGAAAGCTCGGCTTGTAAAAGATGCATGACGAGCTTGTGTTTACCAAATTTTTGCTTCATTACTCTTCAAGAGCTCGAGGGTCTTTTTTCTTTAACAAAAACCGAAGCGGCCGACATAGTTGCAACATTTTCCAGCTCGAGCTATTTACTCGCTTTTTTCAGTCCTAGATTACATCGGATGAAAAATAAAAACGTATCAAATACGGTGTATAGGTATAGGACAGAGGCAGAGCATTAGGTGATATGTTTCGCCAAGTTTTGCGTAACTCGCCCCTATATGAAGGCACATTTATCAAACTGGCACAAATTAGTCGTATGTGTATTGAACACAGTCCGAAGCCCTATGTACATATACATTTCGAGTAAATAGACTATAGGGCCATTTGTGCGAAAAGTGTTTGCGGGCATTGGGAGTTGGCTCTCTCTCTGTATAGTGTGTACTATACTATGGGCATGTATCTGTGTGTGTATGTGTGTTAGTCTGAGCTGCATTGGTATACGCGCGAGATGTACATGCATTGCGTTTATTGAATTACTGGGAGCGAGAGGGGTCGATTCGTCGATATACCGCACTTTTGTATAGTTTGGCGAAACCGACAATAACCGCGCGCCACCGCCGCTGCTCGACCCGGACTCGGATCTGTCTATATATATCGCGTGTACGAGGCGGCAAGCAGACAGAACGAGAGAGAGAGCGAGAGAGAGAGAAAGAGCAGATCGTATTCGAGCGAGGCTATTGAGTACCTTTTGATCCTGGCTCTACCTTTCAATTTTATAAATCTCTATCGGTTAGCTGCACCGCTCTCTGCCCGCTTCTACGTGTGTGTGAGTGTATCGCTACTGCACTACGTGTGCCGAAAATCATTTTTTTCTTTTGCCTCGCCGTCAGATGAAAGTGAGATACCGCATACTTGTGTGCCGGAGCAGGTATATGTACGAGCACTGCTCGGCCGCTTCCTCGACTGCCTTTTTTCCACTTGCTGATATATATACTTGGATTCATTGAAATTGTTGCGAGCCATTTTCCGAAAAATCCCTGCCTACTTTTCGAGCACGCGAACACGCGAATATGTGGTATAAACGGAAACGCAATGGAAGGAGAGAAAAAAAGGCGGAAAATGAAAATTCAATAAGGTCGAAATTGCTTCGATGAAAAATTAAAATATTTTCTCGAGCAACGAGGAGCGGCAGGCAAATAAGGAGGCGTATCCATAGGAAACCATAAATGAAATTCACGGCTCTGTCGTAATACAGCTTCCGCGAAAGCTCGGCGCTTGAGCAAAAAAAAAAGCAGCAAAAAGAAAAAAGGAAAAAAGCAAAAAAAAAGAGCGGGGAAAACACGGGGAGAGGCGAAGAAAAAAGTAGCGGTGCAGCGGCAGCAGCTTCGAGGGAGTCTACAGGTATATTCCGAGGGTGGTCTAACAGCCGCGGCGCACACGGTCGAGCGCTATCAAGCCAGCAGTGCACAGAGTTGGCGCCAAGTGCGGATATATATCAGTCGTCGCCCGCACGCATATATACCTGCACACGTAGCTATATAAACGCACATACAGAGGGTTGACACCACTACCAACGTAGCGACTACCACCACCACTACCACCATCAGCAGCAGCAGCAGCACCACCACCACCACCACCACTACCAGTACCTCCAGCATCACGCGTAGCGCGTCCCCAGCGTAAGGTGCATCTGCACAGTATACACACAGGCGTGTATATATATCGTCGGGTGAACTCGGGTCTCGGGCTCGGGGATGAAGGTGGCAGTGGGTAGGGTAGCGCTAGTGGTAGTATAGCAGTAGTGTAGTCGGTGGCGCTTCTCTGCTTCGTAGGTCGTCTGAGTGGGGGGGCGCTGCGGCCGGTGCGCCGAAACGTCCTCAGTCCGCCAGTGCTTCGCGGCCTGCATGGTTGCTGCTCGCGCCCAAAGACCTTCCCGCGCTTTCTCTCTCTCTCCACGCCAGAATCTCGTCGTTCGCGCGACTCGCGACTCCCGCGTGTCTCAACCCCGTTACATTCAAAAAAAAAAACATCGATACAGTGTGTGCGCGCGATCGCGTGTGCGCGTCGTATATTTCGCTCGTATCAACTCGTGCTTCGACTTTGACTGGCTGTGACGCATCGTCGGGTCGTGTCGGTGCGTTTACGCGCGCCCGTCAGCGATGTCGTTGACAGGTTCGCGCTGGGACGGGGCAAGAGCAGCGATACACGAGCCTTGATCGTTCGCATCGAAAAAATAGCGCAAGAGGAAGATGCTGGCCAGGTGTTACCGGTACGCCGAGATCGTGCGCGACGATGATCGTGATGTGACAGCTGACGAGGAGCATCTCTCGAGTGCCATTGCTTCTTGTTGTTGATTTTGCCAGCGGCCCTTGTTGTTCTATCATTGTTGTTCCTAGGCCGAAAGTGTGCTGCTATTGTTGTTGTTGTTGTTGATGTTGTTGCTGTTGTTGTACAAGCAGCTCTTAGTGGTGTTATGCACGTCGCTCGATGATCGTGTGAAGCGACGATATAAGCCAGAAGAGATAACGACGACGATGCCACTGTTGCAGCCGCTGTTGCTGCTGACGATGCCGTTGTGCCACGGCATCAGCGACGTCGACGGCGCGTTGACCTCGATGTGCGTGAATAGAGTTTGTGCTCCTCGTTAGTGTGTAGATCTATATATATATACAACGTACTCATATACACCCGCACTGCCGCTCGTTGCATAGACGGTCGACGTTGGAGCGATCAGCTTAGCTGCTGCTGCTGCTGCTGCTGCGGTGTCTGCAGCCGGACACGAGGTGGGTTCTCCCGAGCTTTTGTGCACTCGTCTCTCCTGTCCCTCTCCTGGACCGCCTGTATTATCCACTGGTCCACTTTGAATCATCTATGATATACAGCCTTTCATTGTCGCGGCCCGGTGTAAAGACGACGATTCGAGCCGCGAAATATCAGGCTGGCTTTATTTTCGAGCCGCGCCGAGTGTCGACAACCCTCCGATAGCTCACGACGGATACGGATCCTATTAGTTGGCCGTGTCACGCGCACACGTACGTTTGTGCTGTAAACCGTTTGATCTTTGAATTCGGCCTCCAAGTGCTTTTAAGAACGAAAGCCACGGATCGCACAGGCTCTTACGGAATTCGAAGCGCCTTGATGATGCCTGTCGACGATTGATCATAGCGCTTGGGCGCCTTTCCGAGCCAACTGCCAAGAGTAATATTTTCCAACTAATTTTATACTCGCGTGTAAAAAGTGTGCGCCCTGCAGCGCACGAGATTCGCTCGGGCGGCTGAAACACCGCGAATTTTC